TTATACAGGCAAAAATTAACTGTATAAACCAATTTTTGACTGTATAAGCTAATCTGCAGTTGAAATTGTTAGTTGGGTTGTATCTGGAAAACAATGTTTTATTTTAAGGTGCCCATATTACGTAAACTAGCAAAGGCAGGACTAGTCATCTGACGATATCCAGCTGGCAATGAAGCCATAAAATTCAGGAACACGTGGAATTCGTTGACCAACTTCAGGATGATGTAGAGTGTAACAATGTGGTACACAGGAGCATCAGAACAATTGACAACCCGTGGTTGCTAATCCGTTATTACCAGATCACCTGTTATTACACAAAGAACCAACAGATTGGAACTAGCAATCATCCACAACGTGTAAATATTGGTGATAACAAACTATACATAAGCGCCGACCACGTCCAAACGCACGTCAATAGCACGGGTAGGAATTTAGTGACGTGATACTCACTTTGCTGAAATCCTCTGAACTTCCCCGATAAACCACTGAGATGGTGGGTAAAAGAGTTGATGTGTTTAATTTATGAAGTAAAGTGATTATCAACTCTTGAATATGAAGAGGCCCGAGAATTAAACCCATGATCTTCTTGCAAAAACGGTCGCTCCAGGCCCACCGAACATCTCATATTACAATATATTACGTACTATCGATAAGTGTCACACAACAAACGACAAGTGCAATGTGCCTCTAAAATTTATCGTTATGAAAGGACATTGGATTTAAGCCACGATTTTCTACTCAGTACGCAAAAACGGCCTCTCTAATGCCACCGAACCCCTCATATCACAACTTTATTCTTTATTCTTTATTGGGAGCAGGGAAAAGCCCATTTGAGTGGAGCTTATAAAAGCTTTTTTTCTCAAATGGGCATAAAACCTCCTCATTTTTTCGCATCAACAGAACAGTACATTCCAAATGATGCATTATTAACTTAAGACTAAACAAAATACGACCTTATTCTATTTCTTACTACTACCTATCATTTACTAACTGAGCACTTTACGGAACCTATTTTTATTAATGAAACGTGACAGACATGGTAGCAACGGTTGAACACACGACACATACTACAAAAAGGCTCGTTATAGCCATAATTAGTACGGAATGTCGATTTACGCATAAATTGATGAGAACGGAGAGTACGACGACTAATATTAAAATTCAACTCACGTAACACTGCAGGACAATCTATGTGAGATTGAACAACATCAGATATGAAACAAGCCTTAGTGACATTCCTTCGAACCTTCAGAAGGTCAAGGTCAATTATTTTACAATGATCTTCATATCTAGGGAGATTATATGGATCATTCCAAGGCAAACGTCGAAGAGCAAAGCGAATAAACTTATGTTGGATAGCTTCTACTTGCTGTACGCTGTTCTGATAGTAAGGAGCCCAGACAACAACTGCATACTCCAATGTAGAGCGAACTAAAGAACAATACAGGGTCTTCAAACAGTGAATATCCGAGAATTCTTTTGCAGCACGAAAAATAAAGTTCAGGCATTTAGAAGCTTTGGAGGTTATACATCCTACATGATCTTTAAAAGTAAGTTTCGAATCTAAGAGAACACCCAAATCCTTAACAGTAGATTCTCTCTTTAGAGGTATTCCGGCAATGGTGTAATCAAATGAAATGACAGAACGTTTACGTCCAAAGGAAATTACTGAGTATTTGTTGGCATTTAAGCTCATACGATTAATTGCGCACCATTTGGAAAAAAAAGGTTAAGTTCTTTCTGAAGGAAATATGTATCTTCTTCACAGGCTATTACATAACAGAGTTTGAAGTCATCGGCATACGATAGCTTAAAACATTTGAGCACTAGGTTGACGTCATTCAGGTACAGCAAGAATAAGAATGGTCCAATTTGACTGCCCTGTGAAACACCAGATGTGACATGGAATGGTTCTGATATAGTATTACCAATTTTGACCGACATTGAACGACCAACCAGATAAGAGTTTAGCCAATCTAGCAACGAACCAGGGAAACTTTGTTCAAGCTTTGCGATCAAGATTTCATGGTTGATTTTATCGAAAGCAGCTGAAAAATCAGTATAAATGGCATCGACTTGCTTGTGAGCTTCTATAGTCTTGATGATAAAGGACTTGTATGGAACCCATGTTATGTCGCGGAAACGTAGTTGAGAAAATGATGCTTGAGGAAGTCGAGGACAATCAGCTCAAATAGTTTAGACGTAGCACATAGTGCAGCGATTCCTCTGTAGTTTGAAACCTCTCGTTTATCGCCTTTTTTGTACACGGGAAAAACGAATGATATCTTCCATGTTTTAGGAAAAGATCCGGATGAGAGCGAGCGGTTGAAAATAATAGCTAGAGGATGCGAGAGAGCAGAACTACACTTCTTCAAGATGATAGATGGTATGCCTTCCGGACCGGGGTTTGGTGAGCATTTCAACCGAGCGCAAGCTGATTCAACAGTATTATGTGATATCCGTGGATGAGGACCAATGGCAGAGCGGGGAGGTACATTAGTTGCAGCATCAGTCACCAGATGTAGGTCAAATGATTCGTCAGTAAATACTGCTGAGAATTGTTCTTTGAAAAGGTCAGTTATGGCCGGAAGAGAAGAAGCTTCTTTATGGCCGAGCTCCATGGTTGAAGGTAGTCCTATTTCCTTCCGCTGTTTAGGATTGTCTTTTAAATTACGTTGAATTCGACGCAGATAAGTATGAAACAGTTTCTTGTTTAGCCGTTTGTATCTACTGTTGCAGGCGAGGTAATACCACCTTATGTAGGAGCTACGATTCTTGGACAGTTTTTTAAGAGCCGATCTTTTAACCGACTTCAGGCGCTTAAGAAAGTTGTTGGACCAGGGTGGGTACACAGGATTTTTACACACTATTTTGGGGGTGAACTGATCTATGACATAAGCTACGACGAAAGTGAAGACTTCAACTGTTGTTTCGACGCTCAAATCATGCAACATGTTCTCCCAACCGATAGAGGATAAAAATAGATTCATTTTCGAGAAGTCAGTTTTTCTGAATGTATAACGAGTGGCTTCGGTGACAGGGATGAATTCATAAGAAACACATTCCTTTATGAACAATTGAAGAGGTGGATGATGGCGGCATTCCTTAACAAGAGGGGTTGGAGCTTCAGAAACAGTAGTATCGTGATTGAGATCTTGGCTAACAAAACAGAGATCAAGCAAGCGATGGTTGGAGTTACAGACAGAGTTGAGCTGGATGAGCCCCGCTGTACTATAATCATCCAGGAGTTGATTTTGAACTAGGTTCATCGATGAGTGCGCAAGGTCGGGATGCAGGTAATCCGATGAACTTTGAATCCAGTTCACAGAACGCATGTTAAAATCACCCAGGATGAGGATCTTGTCTGCCAAAGACATGCGTGAGGTAATCCAAGCCAATGATTCACAATGTTTAGACATCAAAGTTGCACAACACAATACTTATGCTCGAGTTGATGGCATAACCATTCAAACCCGACGGCGGCGAACCAAGCAATGTGACCATGAGTATACATGAACATTGATGATCAAACAGCTCATGGATTGACGCTCCCTTCAAGCCAAACAGTTCACTGGAAATCGTCCTGCATTTATACCACAAAAACTTGAATTTATTTGAAGAAAAATTTCCAACATCATCCAAACCCGCCCATTCAATAGCCATCATCGCTGTGACAAATCAATGCCCATTTAGCTGAAATCTATCACTTTTGATCTACATCTAATTGGACATCTCGTTGACCCGGCACGTGCATATATGCGGCCGACCCTTCTACACATGCAAAGAACCCAACAAACTAATCATTTGACATCAATCTTCGAATCGAAATTTATACACTCGCTGGCTGTGCCCCTTGGCTGACTCGGATTTCATCGGCTTCGACAGCCGCGACTAATTATATGCACGATCCAAGATGACCATCATCGGACTTCTCGGGTGATTTACAAGCGATTTCGGTGAACCACTTGCTTCCACAGTCAACAAACAGTCCACCAGTCCAACCGGTTGGGTGGTGATCAATTGATTTTGATCGGTAAATCGTTCAATTGCAACTTTGCCGAGGTAGAGCCGCACCTGCACTGCAGCAAAAGCAGCAAATCTGATTCAGTTCAAACGATGTGGAATTGTTCCGGACATTTTTCAGTGTGCCAGTTGCACGACAAAAAATAAACACATATAGGTACCCTACTGGTGTGTGCGTTTTGATTCTTGCACCCATGAAATCGCATTGGTTTCCCACCATCATCAGCCACGGCGGCGAAAGAGAACGCGGCATATGCCGCGCGTACAAACAGGCCCGATCAACCTTCAAAGAGATCCGCACTCGATAAAATCAATATTCGACCCATTCCGGTTGGTCGGTCAGCCTGGCTACCCCCGATCGGTTGCGACCGTCGAGCTAACTAACAATGGACCCTCGTCCTTACACTGGTCTCGCCTCCCAAGCCAGGGCTACGACGGGGGCCTTGCAAAAGTTTTGGCTTAAAAGCTTTTTGTTCCCGTCGTCATCATCCTGCTGCGGTGGAGAATTAAGCCAAAAGGGATGCTACTTACATGCGCGGAAGGACTGATAAGCCCGCGGTCGGTAGGTCGGTCGAAGTCTAAATGGATAGAGTGTAATTCAATGGGCTCGTGGTATTCATCCGCAGATCATCGGTCGGCGGTGGAGTTCAGCTGGGAATGCCTTTTTTCCCGTTCCTGAGAGCGCGAGGCGGCAGATATGAGCAAATGTAGCATACCGTATGGATTTGCTGCTGATTCCCCATGCTGTTACAGAAGCTGTTTGGACTTAAATGTTTCTTTGTACAGCAAGCGCGATATCTTATCAGGGTTAATTCCTTTTTGGTGAATATTTCTGCTCAAGCCAAAGGCAGGATGCCGCCGCCACTGCTGGTCGTGGCTGATGAAAATCTGTGGGAAAATTTTCTGTTCAAACTCAGAAGGCTACTGCTCGGCACGCAAACACTCACTCATTTCCGGTTGTCAACGGTTGGATACGAACGAGAATGGACTCCATAGACAGAATCGAACAAATTGGAATTTGCCAACTTGTGCAACATTCACTCGGAAAGTTGAAGATCCTCCATCTAAACTCAGCCAACCAGGACTGTCTGGATCCAACGGGTGTATACTCCATCGGACAGCTCGTCGATCAGCTAATTTCGTACTTGGAAGACGATTTTCATCGGATCTTGGAGCAAACGACGCCGGATGGAAATGATTCAGCAAGGACCAATCTGACCGATAGCAATGAAGACGAGTTCAGCTACAGGCAGTTGTTGAAAAATCGGATGGAAATTCAAGCACTGGAGACCGATTTATCTGACTTGAAAAGCGCTTTTGAAGATGTCAATCAGGAGCTGTATGTAAGTCTGTCGCGTTTTTTTACTATGAACATTTAGATTTTATCAACAGCATCAAAGAATATTTCCAATGCTGATTAAAAATTCAAAGGAATAATACCTGCAAGAAGATACGGTCTTTTGAGGCAGTTTTCACGAATTGATCGTGATTCCGGGTTATTTGACCGAATGCCACTTGACAGTATGCCATTCGGCCTAACACCGTTTGGTCGAATGCCATTTGGCTGAATGGGTCATTTGGCCAAATGCCATTTGGCCGAATGGGTCATTTGGCCAAATGCCGTTTGGCCGAATGCCGTTTGGCCGAATGCCGTTTGGCCGAATGCCGTTTAGCCAAATGCCGTTTAGCCAAATGCCGTTTGGCCGAATGTCGTTTTGGCCGAATGCAGTTTGTTCGAATGCCGTTTGGTCGAATGTCGTATGGTCAAGCGCCAAATTTGATTAATGTGAAAAAAACTGTTTATTAGTTAAAAAATTAAAAACCTGAAATTATATATGATTAAAAGAAGCAATAATAATAAAACTTTTGAAGTCTTATTTCTCAGAATTTTGTTTAATTTGAATCAAAAACTTCTCAATTTCAATTTCAAGTTGGCAACGTTTATTAGCGGTGTCAAAAAACGAAAATTTTCAATCATATTTAAAAGAGTGAAATATCAGTGAAATATTACATTTGTACAGCTCATTCTTCATGGTTTTTCAAGAATAGGCTTTACATAAACTTCAAATGAATCATTGACCACATTGGCCGCTCTTGGAATCACGGGATACCCCCGAAGGAACCTGTAGCAGGGGTCAATTGCGTTTTTACACCAAAACATGCCGTGCGACAGCTCTTTCTTCGTGGTTTTTCATGAATATGCTTTCTATAGAATTGAAATGGATCATTGACCACATTGACCTTTCCGGAGTCACTGAAATGCCCTAGGAGGAACCTGTAGTAGGATTCAATCACATTTTTACACAAAACAATGCCATTGGGGAGCTCATTCTGGAACCAGCAAATGCCCCAGGATAACATGTAAGAGGAAAATTGTATCTTCACTTCACAATGCCGTTCGACAGCTCGAACTATCTGAAGTCTTGAAATGGACCATTGACTACTAGCAGTGGATAGGGAGATTAGGTCGTTAAACTCTGGTTGTAGACCAATAAAAGTCTCTCTCTTGTATTAATGTAAGGTGTAGCAAGAGCACAACAACAACTCTTTAATGAACAAAATGACTGTCGACGTCAGCTCTGGAGATGTTTGCCAGCACTTTTGTGCTTACTAGTGACCATCAGTTAGTGCCATTTCCTGCATTTCAAATAAACAATAGTGACAGTGCGAATAAACCATTCTTATTTGCAATGTTGCGCTTTTAATCTGGGTTTCAAAGCTATTTGCTATTTGCAAAGCTATGTATTATTAATGAATTATTATTTATAAATTAAGAATGCCATTTAAAATTGTAGGAAAATGTTATAAAGGAACCGTCTAATATGTTGTTGGATCACCATTTGCTTCAATAACAGCTTGGATTCGTCTGGGAATTGATTCATAAAGTTTTTGGATGGCTTCTAGTGGAATGTTGTACCATTCTTGGAACAGAAGATGTTCAAGCGTTTTCAACGACGATGGAGGAGGAAAAACGCTTCGAATACGAGCTTACAACGTCGACCAAAGTGGCTCAATTATATTTGAATCCGGCGACTGTGCTGGCCATGGCAGGTGTGTAAAGTCCTCGTCGTGTTCCGCACTACAGGTTCCCCCCAGGGCATTCCAGTCAATGCGGTCATCCCAGGAAAGATCAATGTGGTCAATGATCCACTTCAATTCTATAGAAAGAATATTCATGAAAATCCATGAAGAAAGAGCTGTCGCACGGAACGTTTTCGAGTTAAAACAAAATTGTCCCCTGCGACAGGTTCTCTCGGGACATCCCAGTGGTTCCGAGAGCGGCCAATGTGGTCACTGATCCATTTGAAGTTTAATGAATGCCTATTCATGAAAAACCATGAAGAATGAGCTGTCGTACGGCACGTTTTGGTGTAAAAATGCAATTGTTCTCTGCTCCAGGTTTCCCCGGGGGCATACCAGAGGTCCCGAGAGCGGCCAATGTGGTAAATGATTCACTTTATGTCTAGAGAAAGAATATTCATGAAAATCCATGAAGAAAGAGCTGTCGCACGGCACGCCTTTGAATAAAAACGCAATTGCCCCCTACTACAGGTTCCCCCGGGGGTATCCCGTGATTCCAAGAGCGGCCAATGTGGTTAATGATTCATGTATAGTTTATGGAAAGCCTATTCTTGAAAAACCATGAAGAATGAGCTGTCGCACGGTATGTTTTGGTGTAAAAATTGCAGTTGTCCCCTACTCCAGGTTCCCCCGGGGGCATACTGGATGTTCCGAGAGTGGCCAATGTGGTCAATGATGCATTTAAAGTTTATTGAAAGTCTATTGACGAGAAATCATGAAGAAAGAGCTATCACACGGCATGTTTTGAGTGATTAAATGATCTGCCCGCATTCAGAACCCTTCACCAGAACCGATTCCAGGGAAATGGCCATATCTCGGTTGTTTATAGGCCGATTTCAGTTCTTGGCATATGATTCGCTTAAGAAATGGTTCTTCTTTCGTTGTATTTACTTTAAAATATATATATTTAACCAGCATTATACATAAAATTTCACCAAAAATTTAGCAAGTTAGACAAGCCCTCCGAAAACTCGGAATATCGCCGGTATCCGGTGACCAGGATTATTTTCGTGACTACACCGTAAAACAATATTAGTTTTCCAGTCAAATGCTTTTGGAAGATTTAAAATCGGATCATATTTGACGAAGTTACAACACTCAAAAGTTGACCAAAAATTTGCCTATCCTAATTATTTTGAGTAACCCCTGTATATATACAGGTATTCCACTAAGACGCCCACATTCATCAGGATCAATCAAATGATATTTTTCCACTATCATACGCTCTCAACATCACGCGTGATATTGGTTCAAAATATCATGCTTGATATTGGTTTTACAAGCTCCTTTGATATTGCAAGACTATTCACAACGTGCAAAAATCAAGCTAAGAGTTGACTCGACGCAAAAATTAAAGTTTTTGAAAAATATGTTTTGTAACTTTATAAATGCTCAAAAGTATCCGAAGTGATGAAAAATTATAAAAAAGCACTTTTTTTTCTAAAAGATGTTTAAAATCGTACTTCGAAAAATTTGAGAAGACTTGATCCCCTTTTGATGACATGCATTTTTATAAGGGAGAGGGACCATTTAAACTTTTTAAATACTCTAGAGCCTCAAACATAATATAACGTTCCTAAAAGTACGGTTATTGGCCAAAAATCGCAGTTTTTAAATTGAGGAGACTTTATCCCCTTTTCCTGAGATGTCCTTCGGTATTCTTTTTTACAGGCATCCTGGGATCAAGCAACTCTCGGGAATAAGTCTCCTTTTACATTTTTTTTTTTAACGTAGACTACGTCTTACGGAATGGTTCAAAGGGTAAATCGAAAATCATAAATTGCGACCGTTACGACAAGATGTTAGGGTTTGAACACTTGTAACATTGTCATTTATAGATGAAAATGAAATTCAAATACACCAATCGATTGAAAATAACTCTACCAATCTGTTAAGCGGTGAAACGAATGTAAAAAATAATATCGATAATAGGAATTCCCATTATTTATATTATTCCTTACATTCGTTTCACCGTTTTGCTCGCCTATTCGCTTTCACTATGGATTGTGATTCTTCCCGATCTTTTTGTAAAATGCAGAAGAACGATACAGGAACTACCGGCTCGAAAAGGATTCATTTCAAGCACTACAGACATTTGGTCTTCACTAAGCAACAGAGCTGTCATCAGTTTAACAGGTCACTGGCTAGACGACAAATGTTGCACGCTAAGTCTGAAGGCACTTTTTTTGCAACTTTCATGTACCTCAGATTTTTCTTCACAGGATGTTAAAATTGATCCTAACAATCATATGTGATAGTTATAAAATATTTCACCTTGGGTTTTTTGAGAAAAAGTGTTATGAAGCTTACAAAGTCGATTATGAAGGATTATATGGCCCTGTTGACGATACAAAACTATTACTAATTGAACTTAGGAGTTAAATAAGGTTTAAAAGTTGATTGAATTAATCCAAATGGCTTTAAAAAGCTCTATTTGACTCTCAAGTAAGATTCGTATTGATCCGTTTACGCAAAATCAATTAATATTTGTTGCTAGAACATCTTGTTTATTTTCTCTTCCCTCATAAGAGTAAAAGATAAATGACGAGCAGGATAGTCTAGGACAGCCACGTAATCATAGTAGGCATTGATTTTCGTCCTGCTCCGAGTGTTTTTTATAGATGTATCGTGTAGAAAATTTGGAAAATTAAAAAAAAATCACGAAGAAAATAGAGCATTCACTTGTTGTGCTTCGAAAAAGCGACTCTGTTAAGAAAAACTTTAGTAGCGACGATTGTTGAATGATTTTTAGCGGAGTTCAATAAAGGATACCTACTATATCCGACATTTTTGTGTCTTGTACTCAGCAGGTGGCGAAGGTGGCATTTGCAATCCTGTGCGGCAAAACATTTCCTTGTATTTTTAAAAAATGAATAGACATGTTTGACTCAACGGCGAGATTAAATATAAATTCTGGCAACCATGGCGATTTTTTTTTTTGAAAATCGTTTAACCGATAACGCCGATAAAACAGGAATTGAACTCCCATGAGGTTAGCTACTCTTGCCCAGTGAGTTTAGGTAGCCCTCACCTTGAATTACTACAGAACTGCTGGAGCTTCATTGCAGTTCGCATATTTTCTCTAAGGGAACTTTCAAGAAGGTTCAGCGACTTTCTAGGAAATTCTGCGAACTATATGGAACTGTGTGAATTTTAGTAACTTTCAGAGAAGTTTATTGAACTTCAGGGAAGTTCTACAAACTTCAGGGAAGTTCTACAAACTTCAGGAAAATTCTTTAAACTTTAAAGATATGCTTCGATCTTCAGAGAAGTTCTGGGACGTTTGTGAGCTTCAGAACAGTAAGTTCTACGCACTTCAAGAGAGTTCTGTGAATTATAGCAACATTATATGAATTTCAATGATACTCTGCAAAAAGTTCTTCAAACACCAGGAAATGTTTGTAAACTTTAGGATGGTCTGTGAGCCACAGGGAAAATTTAATAACATTAGTGAAATACTGGGAACTTAAAGAAATATCTGAGAATTCCAGAAAATGCTAAACTCAGAGACGTTCTGTGAACTTCAAAGAAGTTCTAAGAACATCAGGAAAGCTTGAAGAATTTCATCGAAGTTCAACGAAATCAAGGAAAAACTTATGAACATGGAGTTGAATTTGAATGTAACTTCCATAAGCTGTCTCATTGGGTCGCTGATGGAACAACTTACACTCCATGTCTTAGAAAACAGGTATGATAAAGAGAATTTGTTGTGATATAGCTTTCTCTTTTAAGGTTCTCTTATGAAATGTGATCGACGATAACGCTTCAAATTGGGTGGTTGCTGCAAATGCGACTCAGCATGCGCAATTTGGATTCGCTGGTCGCCATTGTAGGTGCTTGATAAACGTGTAGTTTTAGAAGGAAGCAATTTTGATCATCAGCTAAAGGTTTTGGACAATATGGATGCTACTATCCTACTGACATTTTTTCTGACAACATTTTTGGATTCAGCGCACGATTTTACATGGGAAATTACCATCAGCGACAAAGTTCAAATATGCTGTAAACGAGTGTAATAATAGTAAATTTAGAGACTAAACCATTGTTATCAACTCATTTTATTTATTTAAACATGACAAAGTTACGATATCTTACGGTACCGAAGAGGGAATCTTACTGTTCCAGTGAAACGTAGTATTTTGACAACTTTAAACACCTTTTCAATCATTTTCTGCTGAATTTGTTTCGATCCTTAACAGTTTTGTATCGTCAATAGTCCATAAACTCCTAAGTATACTTCAAAACACTTTTTCTCAAAAAAACCCAAGATGAAATATTTTAAAACCTTCACAGATTTGATTGTTAGGATCAATATTAACTTCATGTGATGAAAAAATTGAGGTACATGAAAGTTGCAAAAAAAGTGCCTTTAGACATAGCGTGTGTTGTAGACAGCATGCAATATTGAATACATGCGAATTTACTGGATCCCATACCGGTGAAAGGATTGGTTTGAAAATTCACGAAATATTGGCTGAATGAAACATACCTGCCTCAACTTTGCATCTCATTCTAGGTGATAACGCTGCCAACATGATTAAAGGATTGGACACGGCCGAGTTGCCTAATGCTGGTTGTTTCATTCATACTTTGCAAGAGGTAGTTGTTGACGCCCTCGAGTGTCAGAAATTGGTAAGAGATCTGGTTACTAAATCTCGTAACATCGTAACCCATTTCAACCATTCTCCGTTGACCTGCAACAAGTTTTTTGAAATGCAAACCAAATATGAATTACCAGAACGTCAACTTCTTCAGAATGTCCACGCCAGATGGAATTCTACGTATTATATGTTACACCGGTTGATGGATCAGCGAACAGCGTTAACCTACTACGCGGGAGAAGCTGCCAACATTAAAAACTTGACTGAGTCTGAGTGGAGCATGATTGACCCTTTTCATGATTTGCTAAAGCCATTTAAAAAAAAAATATTTCTGAGGTTATTTCATACGTAGTCATCCTTCGCTTAAATCTGTATAAGCACAATAAAAATCATAGAGCTGTGGAAGCACCTAAGGAATCGTTGCACCGTCGCGCTTCAAGAATATAACGCAAGAGAACATTTTCACGTACGCTACAGTCATCAATCCAAAATTCAAACTGAATTTTATCTCGGAAAGTGAGCTGAAGCTCATGCCCTGAAACATCAGATTATTGCTCAAATTACCGGGAACGACGAGCAGCCTGAGCAAACCAGAACGCTTCCTATAAATGCTTCATCAGCCTTCAATCAGGTTCGACATCAAGTGGTTTTTGGGACTGCTTTGCAGAAATAGGAAAAGAGCAACCGCTGGTTACAAATCCGACTTCAAGCCAAATAAGGAACTCGATAGAGCAGTACATTTTGGAGAAAGTGATCGAAAGAACTGCCAATCCATACACCTGGTGGAATAAACACCAGTTTATATTCCCTGCAGGGTTCAAGCTTGTAAGGCAGTATTTGCCCGCGCCTGCTTCCGGAAAATGCAGAAATGTTTACATGCTTGATTCGGAATTTCAAATCTCTGAAATTGAAAACTGAGTAACTTTCATGACATTATTACTGTTGACTTAATTCATAACTGTATATACTATCAAATGTAAACTTAATTGACTGTATGCTTGCAAGTTGCAAGTTCTGCGAAAACAAATGTTTGTTGTTGTTTTTTAACTTTAATTGAGCTAGTAAGGTAGGTTTACCAGTAAATATTTGGCCTATTCAGTTTAATAGGCCAGCGACTATTCGGTGAACTGAATATTCGGTGACATCACCGTAAATTTTAGTTAAAAGCATTCGTAATTGAACTCGTGAGCAAAGAATCCTGATGAATGTAGGCGTCTCAGTGCAATACCTGTATAAACAGAGAGAGAGAGAGAAGGATAAGTAATTTCCATTTAATTCCACTACCTTATTTGCTTATCCTTGACAGATACGCGTATTTCATCTACAATGTGCAGAATTCTTCAGTGTCTTGTACTAATACTCGGCTGTTGGATGTATCTGTTCGGCTTCATAATTTTTAATGTGGGGGCGATCCCGGCGCAGTGGTTAGCATCCATACCTCTCACGCCAAAGTCAAGAGTTCAAATCTCACGCCTAGATAAGTCACGAATGACCCAAGAGCGTCAAAATGACTATAATAAAAAAAATTAATGCGTATGACGGAAATGAGTCACCCACCCTATCTATAACATAATAAAATATATTCAAACCTTTAATTGAAATTTTTTCTGCAATCATGAAAATGAGGGGGTATGAGTTAGCGTTATGTAATTCTAGGGGAGAGTCTTGTTAAACTTTACTCATTGTTACATAGCGAGAGATGCGGTCGAAAATCCAGATTTGTGTGTGTCTCCAATACAGCATTGCACATAATTCACTTTATTTATTTCACGAAGGAACAAGAACAACTGGAGATCGCTCGCAACAGATTCGTCGACAAGTGGGCATCCGCCCGGCAAGAACAACTGATCTACTCCATCACGGTCAGATCGGAATCGTTCCGTAAGGACATAGATCGCCAACAATCGGCAGTGGAATCAGGACTGCGAGCTGCTCGTCAGACAAACGACTTCTACGACTGGCAACTGGCCAAGTTGGAAACCGATATCGACGATTGGAAGGTGCGGTTCGAATGCGAGAAAGAACAGGTGGATTCCCGTCTCCAAAAGGCTCGCACCGAGAAACGCCTTTGGGATGAGCTGAAAGAAGAGATGGAAGAAATGAATAAGGAAATTGCCCAACTAGAACAAATGGAAATCGACTATATCAAGGAAGAAGAGCACAATAGATTGTGCCATAAGTATGCTGTACAGCTGCAGGTTTGTTAAATCAGATTCTTCTGAGTTTTAAAAATGATTTTTTTTTATTTCGAAACAGGCTTGGTGGCGAGGTGTTATGGTTCGGAAAGGATTTGGACCATTCGGTAAAGGCAAGAAATCAAAAGGCAAAAAGAAAGCAAAAGGATCCAAGAAAACTAACAAATCTAAAAAGTAGCTTTTTGCTATTTGGGAGAATACTATTTGACAGAAAATTTTGAGAAATACAAAACCATAAATTATTAAATCGAATCATGCACTGCGAAACAATCACTCAATATCATGAAAAATAGATTGCGATAAGTTTACAACGCCAATAAAAGTACGACATTTCGATAAATTGTTTATCGCACCTCGCAGCAGCTCTAAAGAGCTATATGTACTCTCCGACAAAAAAAAGTAATATCCCTCATTTCATAGTGCTCATGCGCGTTGAAACAACTGTCAGTTACAACAGCAGCAGCAGCAGTGCGGAAAAAATCCTATCCCGGTGCCGACCAGATAAATTGATCAATAAATAAAATAAATGAAAATAAATAAACATTCCCACGCCACTGTCTGCGGTCACTTGTACGGGCCTGGAACGTGTGGTCTCCTGACTTCCCTCTTCCCTCGTCGCTCGTCGGTTAGACCAACCACGCATGGTCTTTTTCTTTGCTACATATGTGACCATGGTGGCAGCAACCGAATCTACTCGCGGGAGAGCGCGCGCAAAAACTCATGTTGGAAGTTTCCAAAGGCCGCCACTCAATGTTTTACAAACTTGCCTCCAGATCGAGCAGTGCACGCGCGGTCGGCCACCTCCTCATCCGGGCTAGCCGTATCTATAGCGATCATGAGGCCATTAGCCACCAGGAGTAACAAGACACTTGGGGGTATCTGCCAGCTGCTCATACGAATGAACTCTACATACTCCCCTACGCCGTGTATCTAATCCTGGCAGGTCTTATGAAAGAACTAGCATCTAGCACCAACTCGTGCAGTAGAGGTTTACTGTCATTAATCTCATTAGATGCACACACTCAGCTTTACCACCGCGTGAGGCTACTGGCTGACCTTTCCGGTAAGCTTTTCGGTGATTGTTGGATTGAATATATAGTCAAGGCGTCATATGTCGATTTGCGAAGTGGTGGACATTGCTCAAATTGGGATTTTTCATATATAATCCTAAAAAGGACCTAGATTATTTAATAGTCTAGTAACATCAAGTCCACACTCGGTCACAATTTGTATTTGTATACTCAAAGGGGTAAAACATAAAATTTGGGGTAAATTTGAAAGAAAGGGAACTTGGAGTGTAGAGCGCACTGCCCACTGGATGATTCTGAAGCCTGGCCAAGTGAGTGGGGTATGGGTTTATTTGATTGAAGGTCATTTCCAATGTATATATTGATACATTCAAACCATTGGCATTTGAGATAAGACAGAGATAGGATGCGGAGGGCTCGCTTAGGAGGAGCGTAACCCATGTTATGGTTTCCATTTATTAAATAGGTCAGATAGGTTAGAAATGACAGGTTTATAGTGAGAGAATGTACCATATTGGGAAAGCATAATTTTCATAGAGTTCAGAGCGGCTGAGCTGTTCGTTTGTAGTTTGACCTTCCTTCAAAACCAATTTGGCTCTAGAACAATTTAAAACTTGTTCTGCATCATTCACATGTTACAATTATTGAAAAGAGCTCGATATAAGATAGCCACAGAGAACAGACGTTGTGGCTCCAAAATTTCTCTAAAACCTTGTGTAATGATTCCTATTCAACTTAAGCGCCACTAACGGCGACTTCCCCGCATAAAAACCCTCTTTGACAACATGATGGCGCTGGCGTTGCAAAACTTACACTAGATACTAAGCTCTGGTAGCGCCAAGTGGCAATTTTCAGCAGATAATTTATCGATACTAGTGCCAAATTGGTCGAAAGTGATAAATTTATAGAGGAAATCAGGAGATGCTAGCGCTTTATACAAGTTTCTGACCGAAATTGGACGTCTAGTCTCTGCGAGATAGCTTAATACAATTAAATAGAAATGCCAAAAACTTACCGAGTAGTTTAGCTGTTCTGATTTCGGTTTCTGAGTATGAAATAACTCATATTAGCACAGAGTAATAGTTTTATTGCTAGGGAACTTTCTTTTGGGATCGTCTATTCTTCATACAATTCTCTTTATTCATACTATATTAATCATGATCAGTCTTAGAAAATGTTATATGTTTAAGCCCCGTTCTGGATTTGTTTGTTATTCATATCTTATGCATTACAGCTCGCGAGAGGTTACCAAATATGAGTTCTTTTTCTCGTCCACAATAGTTTGGGGGGAGGGGTGATCTGAGAGCTGAATAGAGGCAAATAAAATAGGGAACACAACACCATGACCCAAACGACTAACCAACGCATGCGGCTCACACTTAACTTGTTCTATTCCTTTCTTCCCCTCATGTACCAATATCACCTACCTGAGAACAAATGGGAACACGGCCAGATTTTCAATAGGATGAAGCAGTCAGTAAGCAGTCAGAAAGGATTAGGCCATTTGGAAACAGTCAATTTATACTGGACGGAACTGGTAAGTAGGATAAGAATTGTAAAAGGTGTGTGCTTGCATGATTTACCTATTTTAGAATTACCTATAAGCCACATGAGAACCTCATTTTCTTCAATTACTACTCCATTGCAGCACACACCTAATAATGATCACTAACATTCATAATCAAAAGGTGAGGTGTGAAGTATAATTACCATGCATAGGTATAAGTTAATGTACCAGAACCTGGCCGGACACGAGCCTATCCAGGGGAGGACCCGGATACGACCACCCATGTGTGTCTAGAGTATCGCACGAGCTGACGAGTGCAACGGGGAGGACAGTAGGTGTACAGACTAGGGGGTTAGTCCCTAGATAAGCCAACTTAGCGGTTGGCACAGCCTATACATTGAACAATTACAATTACAATTACAATTACAACAAGGTAGGACGCGGAGGGACCGCTTAGGAAAAGCATAATGTTCAAACTTGAAGGGTTTAGAGCGGCTGAGCTGTTTGGTGGTAGTTTGACGTTCCTTTCAAAACCAATTTGGCTCTAGAACAATTTTAAACTTGTTCTGCATTATTCACATGTTGAAATTCTAGAAAAGAGCTCGATATAAAGTAGCTTAAAACAATTAAATAGAATTGCCAAAATCTGCTGTTCTGTAACTGTATAAGCTTGAAATGGGAAGAAGAAGAAGAATCTCGTAAGACAGATGAACTACGAAACATTCCTTACGTGCACCATTCCTAGTCCTGAACGGTGATTACCATAAATTCCAAACGAATGACCATCCGTGCATATTTTCACCAGTCAATTCGAACAACCACAACAAAATTAGCAATAATTAACTTTTCTTCCATATCGTTTTCATTTTTATGGCTGGCATTTTCATCACCGGGTATTGACTCCAATCAACCAAGAGTCAAGCTCAAACACTGCATGATCGTCGTATTTGTGGTATCTATTGCTGATTGCATCTGAAACTGGACTGTCCCAAAAATGCAAAACAAAGTGTGATAAAAGTGCACGTTTCAGTCAAATCGTTTTGATGTCTTCGAAGCACTTATTGCTTGCTTCATAAGAAATAAGTGCACCGAAGACACCAAGACGATTAGACGTAAACTTGCAATTTTATCACACTTTTTAATAAGTGAAAACGCGCTTATTAGTCCAATTTGGTGTGAAATGCGCAATATTATTTTAAGAACAAACCGCGTGAACAAAAGCCTAGCTAATCGTACCAACCGAACAATATATCACGCGCGATCAAGGTCACACCGGATAACAAAGAGAAATGCAAGAGTACAGAAAGCCCATTGTACAGTAATTTAGGATGAGAATTTAGAAGGAAAGTCGTACTATTTAGACGCCTGATGTCTTCGGTGAAGTTTTTGTGCATCGAAGAACCTTCTTTTGATGGTTGAAAACATTAGGGTGACCCACATCTTAAAGATTTTTTAAGAATTGAATAACGATGTTCTGGAAAGATTTATTGTTTAGCTCGAAGTCTTCTGTTTCACATTTCTCGTGAAGGTCATCTTCAAGCAACTTTTTAAAACTATTTAAAATGCACATTTTAGTCGAAAAAAGTCAATCGATTTCGCTTAAAGATCGCGCGATATTAACGATTTTCTTTGTCAAATACACCCTTTTCAAATGTTAATTACTCAGTATATGGCAAATACACACAAATGTTCATGTTAGTATTTGAAGAAGCACAGCTTGAAGTACATTATACAAACAAATTAGAGATATTTTTTGATAAACTCATATAAAATCACTATGACTTAATCAAATTTTTTCAATATAATTTGGTTCCCCTTCCTTAATAAAAGAGATACAACCATTGTTTATTATAAAATGCGTGTAAAAAAGCATACAAGTTCTAGCAAATTATTTCCATGGCAAATTTGTATTACAATAGTTACAAGAAAAACATGGTTTTTAGAGGACTATCCTAACGAAAAAAAAAACAATGGGCTAGTATTTTGTTTTAATATTTAGAGATGATTTCAGTGAAGTTTTTGCACTTATAAAGTTCCTTGTAGTTGTGGAATAAGTAGTATAACTCTCTTATTAAATTCTTTTATAGCAAACAACCTGTCTGATTGTCCAATTAAATCAAGTATGCATATTATTATAATTTAATATCTTATACATTACATGAATTTATCAAGGAGTATTCAACTCTGCACATCTCAATCTGTGCCGAGTACTTTATCTGTGCCAAGAGTTGTGCCGAACGTGCCGAAATGCCACAATCAAGGTGTCGGTCTCAGTATACCATGAGTTTGGCAACCCTGCTGTTATGGCTTTTGAGATTGTTTGTTTACAACTTCAAGATTTCATAGATGGTTCATAAGAATTAAGATATACGAGTGTCCTGTTGAAAGTAAAACGAGCATAAAATAACATGCGTGTGTTGACTTCATTCATTCCGTTTGGTTCAATGCTGCCAAACGAGTGTGTCATGAAGGAACTG